AAAGAGGAAAGGAAGTAAGAAAGCAAAGCAGGAAGACAGACAAATTGAAATCTTGGACTTGGAGCAAAAAAAGCAGGAGAGGCCTGGTGGTGGTTGACTGGCTGGCTTGTATGTGGTCTGCGGTTAGTGGTCAGCGCTTGAGCTCACACTCCCGATGTCGTCCAACCAATCCCGGGGAGAGACAGCTGGCCAACGGCCGTCTCGGTCAAACTCCTCCTCCTTTCTCGCTCACGCACCACAACCGCAGAGCAAAACAACCAACAACCGCCACCCTGCGCCAAAATACTTTTTCGCAGTCATCAACTGAAAATTACCTCAATGGAACATAACGGATGGGTTCTCAGAAATATTTATTGACAGATCACATCTGTCCGTTTGAAAACTTTCACTTTTCTAAAGATGCAGAGGGAGAAACAAAGGAAGAGGAAAAGAAATATTCTTGCTTGTCTACACTGGAGTTGTACAGTACGTGAATACAGTTGTTCACTGGAGTTTCCAGACTACTACTGACGTACGTTTCCCTTTTCTTTTTCAAATTTCTTCCAGATTAAAAAACATTTAAATCGATATTAAATCACACTTCATACATCACAGAACCAGATTCCAGTGACAACATTTGTCAAATCCTCGCTATCAAGCACTGGCAGGTACGGCGAGGTTACAGTAAGAGGAATTACAATTCAAATTTTCCGGCTGCACGGACGTTCAACCTGACTCCATACTTATCTGACAACACACACAGCACAGGGCTCACCTCTCCTCTTCCTTTTCATCTGAACAGGAAGATGGGGATGTTGACGTTGACACAGGTTTAATGCTGATTTTTCCTGTCGAACTCTCTTGGAAGAACAAAAATACTGCGGTACAATGGAAACAAGAACCATTTGTTGAACTACTTTGGAAACAAGACGCCTGCGTAGCTAAACAAACAAGAAGTTGGAAAGTTTGGGTGCTTTTTCTGCACGGCAAACATTCCAGCACCGTCCCAGTAACCACTGTGTGTGAAGGTTCAAAGCCTAAATGAAAACTCACTTTGAAAACTTGCCCTAAAATCTCAGCCTTCTAATTACATCTGTAATTTTCTATTTTCTCCAACCCATAATGCCCCACAGTGCAGATTAAGCAATACACCAGCAGACAGAATGAGTGTGACTCTGGGAAAAGAAAGAAAAAAAAGAGACACTTTCCTAAGCACCTCTCAGTTTAATTCTTGAACACCATGAACCTGTCAACAGTGCTAAAGACTTCACAGATGGCTAAGCCATTTTTTCCTGGATATTTGAGGCACGAGAGGAATTTGTGTTTATGTAATTACAGACCATAATCTGTCTGGGTTTTCTCTCAGGTTTGGTTTCTGAGGACAGGTCACATGTGTCTGTCTTCTATTTATTGTTAATTCCTCTAATTAAGGGTTTGGCATGACACACTGTCTTCTGGAATCATCTGCAGTTGATACAGCTCCACCTTCTGAAACCAAGAGATGTTTGTAATTGACTCAAGTTTGATTTCCCTCAGCTTTCAGTTATCGCCGGCGTGAGGGTCATAACGTGGGCAGCTGTGGACTTGGCAGAGACAGGAGGCTACAACTTTGTGTCCTGCCTTTTTTTTCCTGTTTGCAAGATAGTGGTATACATGCTATGTTTCCATTGGAACACAGTGTCAGTGTGGCAGGTCCACAAACAACTTCAACAACTGGAACCGCTCGATCCATTTTCTCTCAACGGTCTATAGTGGTACTACTACTACCAGAGCTGTCGGCCGTCTGAACAGTATAGTCAGCAGGGCTTCTAGTCCAGAGGGACCAATCAGTGGAGATGGTGTGTGTTATGCGCGTCTTTGGAGACTCGTCCTCCGCTCTGATCTTCTTCTGTGAAGCCAGGATCAAAGCCGACACACTGAGCACCCCAGGACACTGCAAGGGCCACTGGCAAGAGTGACACGTAGAAACGCACACACACTCACCTAATATTTCTCACACACATGCAAACGCTGAAACTCCGAGAACACACACAAACACTGACATCTGCACAGGTGCAAATGGAAATGTCGAGCTGGTGAACAGCTTGTGCTACTCACACGTGTGAGAGAGGGTGGACAAAGGAGGCTCACACAAAAACATTTACACACACACACACACACCGATGTCAACACACCCCCTCAGGTCAGGGTCGCGAGACGTCACGGTCTGACTGCAGCATCGGCCCACAGCAAGGAATGAGGAAGTGATTTCACCATAAAAAACTGGAAACGGGAATTGAAAAGTTCCACGTTTTGAAAAATGATGCAGAAAATGATGTTAACGTTTTACTGGGATCTCTTGTACGTGAAATTAAAAAATTAAAAAATTGATGCCTTTTCTGCACTGTGATACTAGTTCAACTTGAAATTCAACATCAACTTGTTTGTT